AGTTATCTCTCGCTAGACAACGGTGCGTTCGTTTACCGTCACATATTTATGGATGAGTTTGAAAAGGAATTTAATGTAAAGCCAATACATTTTTCTGTATGTAATATAATTTAAGTTCTTAATCATTTATACACTTGAGTCTTAATAATGACAATTTTGTAATTAATTAATGCGACTAGATAATTGATCCAGATATAGAAGATTTACTTGCAAAACATAATATTAGATCCAAATTATTAAATTATACTAAAAATAATTTAGCTTCAATAGCTCTTATGGATTCTGATAACTGGAGTCCTATTATAGAAAATATTAAGAATGAGGTCGAAAACGGAACATATGTTGATGATAGACGCGTATATGTTCGTTGGGTTAATGACTTTGTAAGATGGGGCATGTTTGCTAATCGTAATTTCCAAGCAAATGAACTTTTAGGTATCTATACTGGTATGTATACGTCTATGTCTAATGCTAACTAAAAAAAACTACATTATTTAAAGAAATTTTTTAAATTTTACAAAATTACACAATAAGGATTTATAACACGTACACTTCACGATTTTGAGTATGGTATGTTAAAAAACAATACTAGTACTATTAAAGCTTTACTTCGTTATTTAAGCTCAAATTATATCTTAAATATATAGCCTGGGAGTTCAATTATATTGTGGATGTTGTTGATGATAATGGCGAGAAAGTGAGGGTTTGCATTGATGGAAAACATATGGGAAATTATATGCGATTCGCTAATCATCATGATTGTAAGTATTATTCTTTAATTGTATTGTCAAAAGAAAAATATATCTTGACTTATATCTCGACAAATTTTTAAAACTTTTTCAATAATTTAAAAGTAATAATAATAAAGTTTAAGATTGGATTTAAACTTCCTTTCACTTTAAATTATCGAAATAACTTTAAAATTCGTCGAGACATGAATCGTAAAAGTTAAGGCATTAAAGTCAGATCTCTATAAGTTAACACAGTGATGGTCGATGACCTAAGCCATAACATTTTTTTATTATGATCTTAGTCATATAATCGTGGGTCATATATCATATTTAAATTATAGTAAAAAAAAATTACGATAAAATTTTGTTATATTAAAAGGCCATAAAGCTATATCAATATTCATTATGACCAAATGACCTACAGTATGACAGGTCAGAGTGCACACACTGGGGACCATAGAAATAAAAAAAGAGTGCATTTATAGAACATATATATATATAGCTATTATAAGTTGGAATCAAGCCATACCGTGCATTTAGAGAGAATTTACATAGAGCATGCATTTATGGAGAAATCTAACTGTATTAATTTTCATTTGCAACCTGT